CTGGGCTGTTTTACATGCCGTTCCCTGCTCCTTTGGAGCCAAGACATGGAATCAGTCATTGGCTGCGTCACGGCATGCCGCTGTCAAAGCCCCCACGGTGTGAACGTTGGCAAGGGGAAGTGGACAAATCCTGCCATTAATATTTAAGCCCGGCATAAATCCCGTTGTTTGCTCTTAAATGTTTATCGAGCTCCCCAGTGTAATTGGGCAGCCCGTTATCTGTCGGGTTGTGTGTGGGAATCTGCTATTACAACCCTCTCTCTGAATCTTTTATAGGAGAGCAAAATACATTTACAAGCAAATTTGGGCTTTATTTGGAGGTGCCGGAGGCGCGTTACTAATTTGGCTGCGGCCCGAACCCCAACGTGTGAAGTGCTCAATGTGTTGCGTGGGAGGAGGAGGTTTTATTTAGCTGCTTGCTTCTTTCCTCGCTGCTTGGGCTTTCCGTCGCTCACGCTACATGTGAGCAGCGAGTGCCGAGGGTAGCCCTGGGAACCCCAGAAAAATGCAGCCACTTTTTGTATCTCACTAACTCCTCCACCTGTATCTGTCACAGCGGTCTCAGTGAGGGACCAGGGACGTAGGGGGCCTATAAGAAAGCTGGAGAGGAGCTTTTTACAAGGGTATGTATTGGTAAGACAAGAGGCAGTGGCTTTAAACTGAAAGAGGGGAGATTTCAATTAGTTCTAAGGAAGAAATTTTTTACAATGAGGATGGTGAAACACTGGAACAGGTTGCCCAGAGAAGTTGTGGATGCCCCATCTCTGGAAGTGTTCAAGGCCAGACTGGATGAGGCTTTGAGCAACCTGTTCTAGCAGGTGGGGTCTCTGCCCATGGCAGGGGGCTGGGCTACTAGATAATCTTTAAGATCCCTTCCAACCCAAACCGTTCTATGAGCTGAGCTTCAGTGGGATGGGTTACCCTGGTCAGGCACGCCATCCTGGTCCCTAAAGATGCTGCCAGGTGACCCTGTAGAGGCAGCTGAGATGACTGGGCCGGTCTGGATAGTTGCAGCTGGGAGCAGCAGGTGGGATGGTGGGGAGGAGGTTACTAAGAGCGTGAGCATCTTGGATACCTCACGGTGGGGCTGGATGAGCGCTTGTGGTAGACAGATTAGTCATCGGTTCCTGATAGGGGATAATCGCTGGCTTGTCTGCTCTTTATCTGTGAGATAAGGACAGGTTGGGGGAGGGAACAAAAAGGCATGGAAAAGCTGAGACAGCCAGGATGGACTGTCTCTGACGTGGTGGTCCCTCATGACTTATGGCAGGACTTGGCCACCAGTGTCAGGGAAGCAGGATCAGGGCACGCGTGGGACTGTAGGCGAAAGCCCTCGTGCTCATCTGAGGGCTGTGGATGAGCTTCAGCTGCTGCTTCAGGTCCTGTCCCAATTATGTGGTTGTGTCGACTGTAAATTATTCTGCGGAGGGAGCAGCAGCATCCTGTCCCTTCAGCATGGCGAAGGCTGCGCCTAGAGGTTGCTGGGACCGCTCTTGGTCAGCAACCGTTAGCGGAAATTAAAGGAATTTTGTAAAGGACGTTAAATACAAATGGCTGTATCTTATCAGGTCAGGAGCTTTCTCAGACTTTGCCGGAAGAGCAAACCCCCTCGAGTTGATGTCCTCTCGCTTACAAGCCAAAAAGAGACAGTTGCCCTGCAGAGCAGGCATCCTGGAGCTTGATTTTCATGGATTGCACTGGAGTTCCCAGTTCAGCATCGCATGATGCTGGGGCATGCACAGCATCCTGAGCTGTCTCCATGTGAAAGCGCTGTCTGCTCCTCAACCAGATCCCAGTTCAGTGGGGCAGACATCATTAAGATTTAAGTGGGAACGTGTCAGCCACAGCAACCCCATGGCTGGCAGTGCAGTACCCCGCTCTTGCCGCACTGACCCCCTGCCTCGCTCGAGAGGGAGACGAGATGGGAGAAGCAGAGCAAATTGGAGTGGAGCATCCTCCAGCCACGCTGGTCCCTCCTTGGCACTGGTTTTCCCTGAGGAGCTTCTGCAGAGCAGGACTCAAAAGTGGGGAGCCAAAAAGCTGAGTTTCTGTTCCCTTTTGCACTCCTGGCTGCTCACTGGGCAGTGCTTGGGGGTGGGGAAATGGGAATTGGAAGGGGCAAAGCAAGGAGAGGTGGATGCAAGCGGTTGTTTTTAAAAGCACTTGTGGTTTGTTTTTTTTATTTTTTTCCTTGTTTTTTTGATTCTCTGGAAGGTGAAATACAGCCTGTGAACACACGTGTGTGCCTGCCAAAGGCCCTGCTCTGGTGTCCTGGTTTTGGCTGAGATAGAGTTAGTTTTCTTCTTAGTTGGCTGCTGGCTGGGGTTAAACCACAACATTTGGTCACAGTTTGGCCTTTGTAGGATTATTGTTCCTTTGCACTTTCCAGTGGAGGGTCTCTCCCAGGCAGGTACGGTGATGTGCAGGGACTTGTCCCCTGTCCTAAAGCAAACAAGGTGCGGGAGCAGGTGTTTGACCCAGGGCTGGGGAGCCCCCGTGCAGCAGTACCTTTGTTAGACTGTTCCTAAGGTGGGCAAGGGTTTGCAGGAGTTGGAGCTTTAGTGATATTTGAACAAACCGGTGATGTGGAGCACAAGGAGGAGCAACCTCAGGCGATCCCTGGAGCCGAGGAACACTGGGGCTCTGCAGCTGCCCTGCCTGCACTGCAGGGGCTTGGAGGAAGGCAGGTTGCTGCTCTTCCTCAGCCTCCTGTCGCCTGGGGTGCAGAGGGAGAGGGGCCAGGCGTTAGCCCTGTGGTTGGGATCCCTCCTGACGGCTGGT